TACATCGCCGGCGACTCAGGGCAGCCCAGCTCCAGGTTGAGCTGTTGTTCAGCATCTTAGCTGTAGAGGGCAGTGTCACTGGCCCTCATATGTGGAATCCGAACTGGGGCCCTCTGGCATCCCAAGCCAGTTCTTAACCAACGCGCCACTTGGCTGGCCCCACCTTGTTCTTTTTTAATTTATTGAGTTAAATCCTTACTTCAATCATTTATTCTTGCTTGAAAGTGCTTAAAGTCTTGACTTTTCCACTGAATATGCCTTTGGTAGAGTCCTGTAAGTTTTAATACTCAGTGTTTTCATTATCTTTATTTTCTGGACATTGCATAATTTTGGTCTTTATATCTTCTTTAGTTAGAAATAGTGCATTTTTTAATTTCTGTTTCTATGAGAAAATATTAAGAATTTTAACATTCTGAAGCTAAATATGTATTAAGGGTTGAGATAAATGATATGAATAAAATATTTGCAAAAATATGTTCAGCATGGAATATGAATTTAGATAAAGTGATAGAATATACTTTTACCTCTGTGGTGTAAATTTATCAATCTGCATTTGAGTTTAATTTTGAAATTCATAGCCTACTAAGATATTAGGATAAACATATTTATTAAACATGTAGGGCCATTCAATAGCTAGCTACTAAGTTCTACTATAGCTCCATCATTGAGGTGGAAACTCTGGAAATCCCAAAGTAGAATCCATGCTTTCATATCTTTCCACCTTTCCTTAGTTCTCTAGAAATGGTAAATCACAGCTATTAAAAGGAATATTTTAATATGGATCATTTGGGACACAGAAATACAATCAGTTTAAAAGTTCTGACTCATTATTTTGGACACTGATTACCACAATAAGAACACAGACCCTTACATAAACTACTTGCATAGCAAATAACTATAATAAGGTCAATGTCCACAAAATTGATGATGATGACTATTGTGGCATAGTTTGAGGAACACATGACATGGGTAAACAAATCTGGCCCTAAATAATGGCATTTTCCATCTTAAAGCCCTCACAGCCCCTATAATTGTAGTATTTTATATAGAATAGTAATATACACATGCAATCAAATAATAGAAATATATTCAGCATAGTTAAATACGTGAATATCTAAAAACAACAGAAAATTTCAAACTGGTTTGAATTGTGAAGCACATACCATTTTAAATGTAACCTTCTGACCTTCTTCCATTGCGTGGCTGGAAAATAACAAATTAGTAATAAACCAGTGTTAACTAGGAGGAACGTTAATTTTCATAGAAAGCAGCCTAATGATCTCAATGAGTGGTACTATTTCTTCCTCTATGCAGTCTTGCTCCTTCCTTCAACCCATTCTCCAATTTGTTGCTAAAATTAGTTTCCAAATGCAAATCTTAACTATATGGCTCTCCTTAGTGTGTGCAACAAAGTTGGAATTCCTGCTGCAAATATTTCATTGGCTAATTCCTGTTGATTCTTCAAATTCAGACCTTAAAGCCTCTCTGTACCTCCCTCATTCCCCAGTCTGGGTTAAGTGCCTGTCTTTCAGAAACTATAACCCCATATATTTGACATCCTTTATCCTCTCTGGGAGATGAGCACACAGTGTGAGAAACAGATGATGTATTATAGAATTGTACATTTGAAACATATGATTTTACTAACTATTGTCACATCTAAATATTGTAACATACAATTTTGTATTTATTTGTCAATTTCCTATATTAGGCTATAAACTCCCAGAGCATAAGAATAGAATCCTATATCGCTTTATATTCCCAGCCTTTGGTACATTGTCCAGCATCAAGTAGAAATTCAATAAAGAATTGCTGCATGAATGAATGAAAATTCTCTGGTAATGTATTAGGGATACAAACATTTTAGAAAGTATAGCTGCTTAGAAAGAAACTCACATTTCAGACATTTGGATACACAAAATACTAAATACAAAGTTTTATCTACTTATAGCTTCTATTGTAGTTAATTCTTTTACTTTGAAAAGCTTGTGAAAACAGTCATAACTCTTCCAATCTATTGAATTAAACATTTAGTAACTGATTCTTTAGAACTTCGGGAGTAATACATCTTTAAGGCACTCTTTTCCTGAACATGAAATGTTATGAAACTAAACTGTGAAATAGATGAATGTCATTTGGGGTATTTACAAACATTAGGAGTGGATAAGGAAAGAGGTCAGAGATGCCATAATACTGAAGCAATAAGGTGGTGACAGAAGTGAATCTGACTACAACACCTGTTGTCAAATATCTATAAACAAACTTCAAAATTTAATTAAAACTTATGAGGTAATGTAAATAAATGCACAGTGAAATTATTTTTCAATTTTGGTATTGAATGTTGTTTTAAAAAATAAAGTACGTACATACCCTGAATAAAAAGTATCTTCGATTTGGTCTTGCAATAGGACCTTGGAATTGTTCCTGAAGAGAAAATGAGGGCATTACAAATCAAATAACAGTGAAAATATGCACAAATCCTTCCTGAGAGTATAGTGAAGCTCAAAGTTATTTTAAACTATCATAATTAAACAAAGAGGGAATCCAAGACTTGAGTATATAATTTATATCAATAGCTAATCTCTGTATTTATACCTGAACAATTTTCAACAACTAGCAGTATCATCAGAATGTTGTATTTTAAAATAATTTCCTTATCAATACAACAGATTCTATTTTCAGGAAGTTTGTCAGTTGTATGTGTACTCATCAATAAGTAGAAAGAGGAATGACAGACACTGCATAGATAATTAATTATATTTAAAATCTCCTTACAGCATTTTATTAGAGCAAAATAATTTATTTGAAAAAACATATTGTATGTGCTAACACAAGAACAGAGAAAAATATAAAATAGAATTATGTAACATCTAAAACACATAATATTTCTATAGAAATTAAGGGACAACTTTGGTAAACATATTTATTCAATGAGATTTCAGAAGAGATTTTCCCAATATGATTATATTTACAGAAATGGTAATGAAAAAATATGAAATAGCAACAAACCAATTATTCATAATGGGTATATTTTGAAGTGTTTCCTTTCTTAAAACATTTCATTTTAAACTTAATGGAAAACATATTTAACATTTTATGTTTTCCATAAAATTGGTTTGTATATCTCCCTATTTTCAACAACTACTTATTACAAAAATATCAAGATGGCAATCACTATGAAATTTGTCAACAGGACCCTTTCAAATTATTCCATAATATAAGTTAAATCATATTTTTAAAATTCTGAAAAATAGCTCTCACATCTATTAAAATTCTGAAAGCCTTGCTTTACAAGAAATATATCCTAAATTCTCATCCTGACTATAAATCCCCCTGTTAATTAAAAGATTAAAAATTTTAATATTCAAAAATGTACACTAGACACTATACATTTATATGCTTATATAAGAAAAAAAAGAAAGGTAGGACAAAATGTAACTTAAAACTCAAATCAAAACACACAGGTGATTTTAGTCTTATCACTGGAAAGAGAACAGTATATATAAGAATTTGGGAGGTAAGGGTAAAAGAGGTATGGGGATAGAAGTAAGGATGTCTAGTAAACAAAATATAATAAGTGTTGGAATGCACTAAGATCTGAGAACATTTTCTTTAAAAACCCAAAATATGTCACTATTGAAAATATGTTTTAAAATTGGGTGACTTACGTCTAGCAAGGCTAACATTATTGTATTTCTTTTTCTACTCAGATTTTATATTTTTTTCTTTCATAGGTTCCTAGGAAACTTGTCTTGCTACAAAATACTTTTAGGAGTTATCATTTGTCCAGCAGTATATACTACCAAGTCAGAGTTCACATTTTCAGCTAGTTGTCTGGAAATAGAGTCTCACTGAAGGCAGAACATTCAAAGTACCAAGCTGGCCACAATACTGAGTATTTAGTTTAGGTTGTAAAAATAATGACACTGAAGTGATATAGTAAACTAATAACTTGTTGATATATTTTAAGAAACTGAACCTTTAAACTGAAATCTTACACTATTCATAAGTTAAGCAAACTCTTCAGAAAGTAAAAGTGAATCCAAAAAATCATATACTAAGTGCCAAAAAAATGTATTCACATTTTAAGAAAGGAAAAAACTGTATTAAAATTGTAATACTCAATATATAGCAATAACAAAAGATGAATACAAGTCATATATATACATTTTTTGGCACTTTAGGTATTACTTCTAGAAAGTTTGATAACTACCATTTTGATCTTTTTTTTGTACTGGAAATTCTACAATTTTAAGGCACTACTACAGTTCCTCTTACATTTCTCATTCAAATTGGCAGCAGATACTATGAAGCCTAGTTTAAGAATGTGAAGAATTTAGGGAGGAAATAGTGACCATAAAAATAAATTTTGAGAAATTTATTTGCCTAAAGTGTATGCATTACAAAAAGTATTTCAAGACTTTTGGTAGTATATTAAGAAGAATGAAATTAATATGGTATTTAAATTAAGGAAAAATCTGACAATAATGGATGTATCCAAGATTAGACTATAAAGGGAATTGCATGGTTAAAAAAATATTTTCTAGCCTAGAAGTCAGAAGACTGTTGTAATTTCTCATCTCACTAACTAGGATGATTTTGGGAAACACCTTTAACTGTCCTGAATTGTTTTCCCTCTGGTAAACTGAGGATAACAATACTTGTGTAAGTACCAACAGAGTTGCCTAAAGAATACAATGAAACAATACAAGACTGAAAACTATAATGCATTACAACAATGTAAGGTATTGCTTAAAAATAATACTTAGAAACTTTCATCATTGAAAGAGTTAGGATTCTTTTTAAATGAAAATAAAAACTCCACAATTTCTAGATTAAAAATGTGTTATCATAGTTATATTCATCTCTAATATAGATACTGAATTTGGGCCGTATTTTTGTTAATTGTGGAACAAACCAAAATATCTACATTTCGTTTCTGATATATTTACTTCATGAGCCTAACTCTCACTAATACTTTAAAACTTGGATAGAAAACTTGCCATCCCAGCCATTTGCCAACCTACGTCCAGAGGAGAAGTAATTTTTTTATCTTTTCTCCTGTTCCTACCTAAGGACGAGCCATACTGCTGTGTCCTTCCTCACTTGGGAGGGTCATGCTCTTTGGAAGGGAATCGAACCCCAGCTTTCCTCACTGCCCACAGCCTGAGAGAGAGGGCAAACAATTCTTTTCTTCCTGAGTGAGAAAACACTTCTGCAAACAGATGTTTTTAGGCTCACTGGGTGTTTATGTGGGTTTTATCCTGAAGAAGAGTATCTTATAAAACACAATCTGGAATTAACAAAAGAGCTGCCCTACACAGAATGAGTAGCAAAGCAAGCATGCAGTTTGGGTTACATACGTCCACTCTGAATCTCTTCATTCTTCTCTCCTGCAGTTGAGGAACCAGCTGCAGTAACGGGTGCACGACAGATGACTGAGAGACACAACCACACACACGTGATGAGCACAGAGGCGTCTCAGCATCGGCATAGCAACCGTTTTTCCTATTTGTTTGCTTTTGTTTTTATCCTTTATACTTGCTCCAGACAAAAAAGAACAAGGAAGATGCTATCTACGACATCCCTTGTGAGCATTTCAAAGAACTGCGAAGAATAAGCCAAGAGATGGAATAAAATGTGATAGCTCTATGCTAGAACCTCTGCCATTACATTGAACAAGCCCTTCCCTGAGGGCCTCAGACCTTCATCAGCTGCCAAGAAGTAAACCACCAGCCTGCATCTTTGACAGGCAAAAAAACAGTCTGTCTGCTTCCAGACTGACTCAAAATAATTAGGGACAGATGAAAATAACTCTGTGAGAATCAGTTTTCTGTTATGAAAATGTTTATCTGGAAGATTGCATTGTACACACAAATTTATAAATTATTTTATAATATTTAAAATCGACATATGGAACAAGACAACAGGTGACACAAGAAAAATGACAATGTGTGGTTGATAGCAAAAAAAGTGACTAAGATACATTTTCTCAAAATGTGAAGATGCCAAGCAGAAGAAAATGAAAGCACATTTGAGACATGTGGCTACCTGCTTCTGTTTCATTTCACAGGCATGGCTTAAATTGAACCGTTTCACAAATATTAAAATCATTTATCAAATGGATTCCTTTAAGCCCTATACAATGGTTATTTGTTAGCCAATTCAACTTGCATTTGGTTTTTAAAGTCTAACCTAACTTTCAACTCCTCATATGTAAGAATATTTAATGTGATAAACATTTAAAGCTGAGTTTAAGATTACAGTTCCCTTTCCACAGGGACATACATGTTTAAAATACACTTGCTCCTCCTTCCCTAAATTGTCCACAGTAGTGAGTCACAAGCTTAGAAAGAATAATATAGTCAAATTATTATTAAGTATTCTAGATTGAAACATCAAAGTAGGTTGCTTAGCATTTTTTAAAAGGCATACATACAAAAAGAAAAACTACCACTAAAACCACACAATTTAGAAGTGAACTGAATTTGTGTTATTGGTATCTGGCTAATCTTAGTAAAGTCTCACATTAAATGCCTAATTACAAATAAGGATAGCTTAGGAATACAAATGGATATTTCTAGTTGTATTTAATTACACTTTGACAATCATCTTTTAAAATAATGTTTAAAATGCCTTTGCACAGACCTATTTTTCCCTTGCACTAATCACCTTCTAAAACAGTATGTTTTATTTAATTATTTGCTTTTTCTTTGCTTTTAGAATGTAAGTTCCATGACAGTAGGGATTTCTTTTGTAATTTTCTATTTTATTTACTGCTATATTTCTAGTACGTAGAATTGTGATTGGCACATAGCAGATACTCAGTAAATAACTGTTGAATGAATGAATTAATTAATTAAATATACATGTAGTTTTGACATAAAAAAAGTTAAATGTGTAATAAATTTTAAAATCTATTTGTTCATACATATATAAAGTTTTAAAATAAAGAACATGAATTTTCATCTAGCTCTATAATAAACTGTACAAAACAGTTTTTTTAAAAAACCCCAAATACTAGTGATTACTAATAAGTAATTCTACAACTTACCACATTTGAATTGCCCAACTTCCGCATCTTTGAATAATGAAATAAGAACTGTTAAAAAAAGGAGTGAGATTTACTATAGACGATTAGTGGTGTTTTTTATTATTTTTTAAAGTATATATTTATGGAAATCACTTTACCCTTTTGGTATTATACTTTTCATCTGTTTTCTGTTGAAAAAATATATACAAATATTATTATATTATGTATAACATAAAATCATAATATATGTTATGTATAATATATAGTATAAAATTTATAATATAAGATTATGTCATAATTTTAAAAAACATATTACACATATGTTACATATAAAATATAAGACTGAAATTGGTTAAGCATATATTGCTCTAAAAATAAATGAGGAATTAAAGACTGTTTATAAATAAAAGTATGAACAAAGATCTTTACTCAGCATTATTCATAGGAGTAGAAAATAGGAAACATTCTAAATGTTCAACAGTGGTAGAAAGGGAAATTATGATATGATCACATATAGGATATTCAGAGAAATAGACTAGAAGGAGTCACATCAAAATATTTGTAGTTGTTATCACTAAATAATAAGATTGAGCTGTTTTTGCTTTCTTCCATAAACCATTCTATATTCCTCTCTCCCTCCAAAAATCTATGTTTTTAGAATGACTCATATTCCTTTTTGTCATTCTTTTTTGTTCTCATTTGCTTTAAATATAAAAGGAAATTCATGGAAAAACACTACTGTCATTTCTTATAATTAAGAAAAAAGTCAATTAAGTGTTTTAGAAAAATGTCACCTTTAAAAAACCCTGGGGAAAAAACAGTCGTAAACAGTTTCAGAAAACATTAATGCCTTCAAAAAATCAAGGTTTCTTTGAATTATTGTATATGAAAAGAAGGGAAGTCAGAATGTACCAGTGATCATAGGTTAAATTAGAATTGCTAATGAAAAATATAATTCTAAACCTGAGGCTTTTACCCTTAATAAGATAGTTTTAAAATAAGTACATCTATAAAATACAGAATATAAAATGAGGTATGGTACATTGTGCTATTTTTCAAGTTCCCACCTATCCTCACTTCAGGACAAATAATTTTAATAGGAAACCAAGACATCACAGTAAGAATATAATTTTCAAACTGACATTGATAATATAGTTTGCTTTTTTATTTTTTATTTTTAATGTACTCTGTAACAAAGAAAGACGCATCTCTTCTCCAATTGTAGTTTGAGTCAGGGAGAGAAAAAGAAGCAAATGACCCCACATTTCTCTCATCGGAGGTAGAACACATCTTATACTTGAGGAGGACACAGGACTTTCCAATTAGATTATTGTAAATTCCATTAGTATGTCCTTAAATTCTCAGACATCAGAGAAACAAAAGTATTTGCTTCTTATCCAAAACCAACTTATCCTCTTCTAGCTCCTCTTGTCTGGCTTCCTAAATTGGGTATATTTTCTTACAAGAGAAATTCCAAGATATCACTGAGCAAATTTTCCCTACAAATAAAACATATTTCAACTTTACCTGGGGCTTTGGCAGAGTCCCCATAATCATGAAGCAAAGCTTCTCCAATGCACTGGATGCCTAATGGAAAGGAGAAGATACACAGGCTATGCTTGTTTTAACAACATTTGCATAGAAGATACAACTGTAGAATGTTAGAAACACATGGATATTCCAACTACCCGAAATAGAATCCTTGTGGACAACTGAAACTCTGTTGGAATCCCTTGATTTCCCTTATGATAAAAACTTGCCTCCTAAAAGTAAAACCTTCTTTCCAACCAGGAAAAAAAATGTTATGCACTGTTAAGCGCTGATTAAGGCTTCCCCTCTGGTCCAGATACATGGTTCTCAGTACTTGCTAAGATTTCATGGAATTCTATGACTGAGAGTAATTAATTAGGGCAGTGCCAAAAGAGGGATTATTCTTCCCAGGTTGTAGCCAGCTCTGGATCTACATGCCAGAGCCATGAGCCTCACTGAATATTATTCATTATTGGGTAATTTGAAAACCCTGCATTTGCTCCCAAACAATGGAAGCTGGAGAGGAAGAAGCCATGCGTGGGGCATCTAATCTGAGTTACCACCCTCCCAGGCTGCTGACTGCACACCCCAGGATCAGGTTTTTCAAAGCATCTGAGCACAGAAGTAGGGCAGGGCTTTCTGTGGTTAGCAGCCAGATGGGTGTGGTGAGGAGCAGCACAAATGGACAAGCAGGGGCGAAACCTGCTTTGCACAGAATTTAGCACAGTAGTACCATGAACAGTTGATTACTTAAGAAATGCACATTGGAAATAATGAAGATCCGGAACCATGGGGTGGGGGGAGGTGACGTAATTGATGGTTAGAAACATGGGCTGTGAGGTTGAGCAGCCTCCAACTCTACAGCAGTGCGAATCCCATTTCTACTCTGTATTAGCTGTGTTGCCTTGGGCTGGTTACCTAACCTCTCTAAACTTCAGTTTTTTTCAGACATAAATCTTTGATGACAACATCACTGCAGAGAATTCTTGGAAGGATTAAATGTTGGTAAAGCTCTTAGAACAGTGCCAGGTACATAGCAATTAGTTAATAATGGTAGCATTAAAAAAAATGTGTGCCTGTAAAGTTTGATTTACAGCTGTAGTCACTCTTAATTTAGAAGACATGTCAAAAGGATTGTTTGGGACCACCAATATTCTCCACTCTGAAGAACAGTGCATGTTTGATATGGTTGGTTGTAGTTAGGGATACAGTGAGTCATGAAACAGCTGTTCTGAGCATCCTCCCTAGCGTCACAGGTCCGCTTTGTTCTCTTCCATTTGTTTGCCTACCATGTAAACAGCTGGGATAGTTATTAATAATATTAAATGGTTCATATTTATATAGTGCTTCAATAAATTACAAAAACACTTTCACATACATAATTCACATTCTGTCCTTAAAACATAGCTGTGAGGTATACAGGACAGGAACGGTTACTAAGGAATATGGTTCTAAAAGACTGCCACTTGCCCAGTACCACACCTGGCTAGTAGGTCTTCTGACCTTTACATATTCCTGTGTTATACTGATACTGACTGTTACACCTATCGCTGGGAGTTGGATGAGAGAAAAAGTAGAGTGTGAACACTGATACAACTCTCACTTTTGCTCTTCAGAAATAGAAAAACACAGGTCACTCCACAAAAATCTGGAAATAAGACCCTGAAACTTCTTTTTATGGCCAATCCAGAAATGCTGCAAAATATAAAATAATAACAAAAATATCTAGTGATGTCATTTATCAAAGATGTATCTGTTGCCTTGAAAAAGAACAAATTCAGATATATGAGTTCTCCTTGGAAACAGATTTTAAGCTGGAGGAGGCTTGGCAACAAGATTGAAGTTTGACCGAAAAAGTTTCAAAACAAATTCCATGCTTTTCCAGCAGCTCTTTACATAGAGTCATTATTTAATGAGCTACAACTATTCTTTAAGGATTTTCCTCACACTAAAATTTTAACATTTTATTGTTTTATTTGTAAACCTTAAAGATCCTTTATTTCCTATTTGGTAAAAATGTCTTGAAGCACTGTTCAGATAATCACATAAATAATAAAATAACAGTTAATGTGAAAATTAATAATTTAAAAAAATTGTATCAGGTAATGTAAAAGATTCCATAATAAATTTACCAACTTCTCCTCAAAATGTGTACAGTATCTGAATCCAATAAAAGCTTAGTTTATCTTCATGGTGTTTAGATGAGTGCTTTAAAATGTGTTCGTTTAGTTCTGCAGAAATAAAACTGATTCTGAATTTTAAGTACAATGCAAAAGCTTGTATGCTGATTAATATCCATCCCATGTTACACAGCTATCAATGCTCCTCAAGTAATTTGAAATACTATTCACAAACAGGTCTTGTTTTGGCTTCTAATGCACCTAACTTCCTGCAAATGATCCTCTGCAGACTGTGGAATTTGTTGCAGCAGGAGAAATATAGTAAAACCTTGGGTTGTGAGTGACGTGGTTTGCGAGTGTTCCGCAAGACGAGCAAACATTTCTAATACATTTTAACGTGGTAAACGAGCAATGTCTTGCAATACGAGTAGTTTGCTTCCAGAACGAATTATGCTCGCAAACCAAGGTATTACTATGTAGCACCAGTACACAAGGCTACCCACACAGGGCCAGGATGACATTCTGGAAGGACTGTGAGGAGGATATGGCACCTTGGCCATGCTATGTAGGGGGTTTGCCCAAGGCACACAGCTGATTGCTATGCAAGAGGTCAAGATAGGGCCTTTGCTAAGCCCTCTTCTCCATCCAGAAGACTCGTGATACTGGCTAAGAGAGTCAAGGCAAAAAAAAGCCAAGACACTAACACTAACTCTGTGACACCTGCTCCCAGAGATAGAGCTGCAGCTGGAAGCAGTAGCGTCCAGTAAAGATGGTATAATGAGGACACACTTATTTCCCACTCCTCATGTTTCCAGGCACAGGAGCTAGACTAACCCTCCTCAATCCCCAATCCCCTCTTACTTCTCTCCTGTGAAAAGAGGAGTGAGAATTGCCTGAGAGATGATTGAAAGGAGGAAATGGGGCATTTCCCCTTTAGTCCTTTCTCCTTAGGGAGCCAGCTCTGTTCTTGTCTGTTCTCTGCCCTATGGCAGAAAACCTGATTCTGGCAGGAGGCCCCGAGTCACTGTCTACCCCAATCTAATTCTGGAGTAGTTTTAGCAGACACACTTGGCATCGGATCTAAGGCTCCAATCACAAATTGACTCTTCAGTTACAATGATACTTTGATCTCCGTAGGTCTGATTCCATAAGTTTCTCCCCTCGTGAGTTTCAAACTCAACTAAGGGACAGGATATTAGCCCCCAAATATAGCAATCGATACATTATTTTTAATCTAACGCAGAATTTGATTTTGAAATTCGCATTTTCATTTCCAAAATATGTGCATATTATCTGCAAACCTCTTTTACTTAGACATAAAAGTCCTAGCACTTTAAAACATAAGCTCATAGCACCGATTATTACGGGCAGATGATGTAATAATTTCTAAGATGTCGACATGTTTTAATAAGTTCATAAAGTAATGACAGGTCCAAAGGGAAAAATGAAGTATTCAGCATTACACAAATGCCTACATCATCACGAAACATCTCCAACTGGAATTACCTGAGGCTGAGAACCAACGGATAGGAAAGACGAACACGCAGCATCGATCTGTAGAAAACAAAAATGCCAATTACATCTTGGAGATAGAAAATAGCAGAAAATGGAAAGCAGATTTTACAAAGTTACCTACGTAACATTAATCAAAGTTCCGTGACAGCTTAGGACTCTGGGTTTGGGAGAGAGGAGCCCCTTAAACGTTCTAAAGAAGTCTAGGGACTGGGTAGGATTTCCCAAAAATTTACCCCCAGCCACAAGGGGTATATGTCCCCAGGAACAGTTGATAATGATCATCAGAGAGTATAATAACACTTCAAACATTGCGAGAAAAAACATTGGGTATTCTTCAGCCTGAAAAATGTGAGTGGTGACTAGAAAACGGCCTTGAAATTAAGGAGCACCCTGTTATCATGTGGTACTTTATTACATATAAATCTAACTACACCATCTAAATTAAGTGACAATAGCATAAATACTAAATTAAAAGTAGCATGGTCAATAGCATATAGTAAAAACTCTCATACAACATGGGCAATCTACTAGTTTGCTATCAGGGAGCCAGCATTACAAAAGGGTTCTATTTTACAATGAAGGTGTATTCAACTACAGTCAGCAACTAGCTGTTCTCGGCCTTTATCCTAAAGAGAAAACTTGAAAGACTTTAAACTGTAATATAAAAACATTTCTTTTAATCATTTAAAAACTGTGTTGAGAAGTGAAGCACTTAGCTGATGTCTGGAGTTTTTTATGGCCTTTATTTCTTTGGCGGCCTTTTAAAATGAGACTGGAAAGAAAGGGTACCAATTCTTGCCTGTCTGGGATCACTTAGGTTGAGTCCTGTTCATAGCATGACATCTCAGGGGCCCCTTTCCAGTCCTAGAATTCTTTGTTGAACATTTGATGTAATTTCCATTCTCCCACCAAACTGAGGGGGAAATTATCATACTCTTCAGGCATCATTTCTCAAGATCCTGATTGCTTCCAAGTTAAATATGTCCTAAAATATGATTTTCTAATTTAGAATAACAAAGGTGTCCAATGTTATAGAAAAACATAAGCTTATGTCTCTCTCCTTTTTCTCCTCAGTGAACTTGTCATATTCTCTATATATCATAAATACTTGGGGGAATTGATGTATTCTACTTGTCCCTGTGGCCACTCACCTGCCGCCTCTTCCATGCTATACAAACCCAGAATCATGAAGGCGCATGCATGTAGACACACACACACACACACACACACATACACACGGTGATAAACTTCTTGAGGGAAGGGCTAGGCCATATCTAACTTGCTCCGAATAAGTGTTCAATAAGTCTCATTTAATTAAATTTAATTGAATTTCTTGAAAAATAAAATAAGAGAAGTTAATTGTGAGGGGAAAGACAAAAAGATACCCTTTTAAGTTCTGGATTGTGACCAGTGCATAATAGATCACCTCCAAATGTTATTTACTGTGATTTAGCAGATAAGGAGGATGTGGTTCCTGCTGAAATTTTTGTGGTGCTTAGGTATCTGAAGACATCACAAGATCGGGGGAAAGCTGTCAGCCACAGAACAGGCTGCCCATCTGTGTTGAGGTGGCTGTGTCTGTGTCTAAGAATAGAGAATCCTTGAGCCTCAGGGTTAACTAATCAGTGCACCAAGATTGTCTGAATAAAAACATCAGAAGAAGAAAAACAACACCAATTAATCAAATTAGGAGGCAATTGGAAAGCTTTTCAGTCTTCGTTCTCCTTTTTAAAAGGCACAGCAACATTGCTCACCCACTTTCCATTTGTTCATTATACTCAGATTATGTCTCTAATGGTTTTAGTCGCCACCAATTGTTTTTGAGAACTCTAATGAGTCCATTGATGAATCTGTTTGAAAATGTATTAAGATGTAACTGGTATTTTTGTTTTTTACAGATAGACTGTGCTTGTTCAGCTTTCCTGTCCATTGAGTCTCTGTGTTGCTAGTGTTCTTAGCATCTTAACTTCTTTAAATATTTTTTTCTTAAAGAGTTTATAGTGCCTTTACAACTCTGAGTTTTTCTCAGCATTATCATCTAAAATATTTTTTCAAAGATTGCCCACAGAAATATAGATGATTTCAAGCTAAAGTAAATGTTTCTGATTTATACATTAGTATCTGTTGTCTAAATTACTCAACTTACATATATACTTCCAGTGTATATTTTCCCAGTGTGTATAAAGGCAAAGGCCCTTATAATAGACTATAAATTTCTATGCTATTAAAGACTATTTAGTACTTGGCACTTACCATCTGTCTTGTCTTTTCCGTTACGAATTTTGTTGGGGGTGGCTTAGGTACAAAGGGTATTTCTCCTCAGTTCATAGCTCACTATCATCATTGGACTCCATTTATTTATTCCTTTTATATTTCCATTTCCTACTCCTATTCCATCCTCCCATAGGCAACTCTTCTAATGTATTGGATGTGGATCCTCCACTTGCTTAGGTTCTTCTAAAATCTGCTCTGTTGTTTGATGTGCATGTATAGCTTTCTCTTACTTTTTGCAATTAACGCTGTACTTCGAGATCTATCCATATTACTGGGTGCATCTACTATGTTGTTGCTAACTGCTGTAGAGCACTCTACAATGTACACCAACCACACATTGCATACCTAGTCCCTGCTGAAGGACAACTATTCCTCAGTTCCTCCCAATATCTCCTTGCACCTGCCCTCCAATTACAGATCTGTAGGACAATATCTTTGGACTATGTAAACAAGAGAGGGAACACTAGACCATGAGGATATCCAGGTTGCTTTCCAGATGGCTCCAGAGTTGAAACTCTCACCAGCAAAGCATGAGGGTTCATACACCCTACACACCCTTGCTAATACTTGCCGTTATTTAGATTTCAAGTTTTTGGCCATCTAATGAATGAAAAGTGACACTTTGCTGTTGTCTTATTTTTCATTTCATTATTACTACTGAATTTGAGCATTTCTTTAGATGCTTTTTGGACTTTCAGGTTTCGTCTTTTAAATCGTCCTATCCTTTGACTATTTTTAGTTTGGATTCCTGTCTTTATCCAATTGATTTGATACTGTTTCTTAGGTGTTTTAGAAATTAATCCCTTACCAGTTTTAGACATTGTTAATATCTTCTTTCAAAGGCTCTTACCTTTTTCCGTGGAATCTTTTATTGAAAGAAATCCTTACTTTTAATATAATTCAGTTCATCATGTTTTTGGCCTTATGATTTATATTTGAAGTTTTATTTAAGAAGTCTTACCCTGCTTCTAGCTCACAACGATGTTTTCCTAATAGAAAATATATTCTATTAATTATAATTTTACCCTGTATATTTAGATCTTTAATTCACTTCAGGCCCACCTTTGGGTGTTAAGTTTTATTTTTGTCTATACAGCAAGCTAGTTTCTCTCTCATTTACCAAACAATCTGTCCTTTTCCCACTGAATTTTAGTGTCACTTTCATTGTAAGTTAAGTTTATGTGTATGTGCATGTCTGTCTTATTGGGTTCTCCCAGAAACAGACCTTGAAATAAGGATGTGGACATAAGTAGATCTAGGGGGAGATGACCCAAGAAGCACTAGCAGAAGAGTAGAGAAGTAAAGCAAGGAAGAAAAGGAATCCAATAAACAGAATGTTATCAAGCAGATTACCACTGTGGGTAACTGGGGTCAATAAGTCTAAGGAACTGGGTGCAATGTAGAACTAAGAGTTACCCCAACTGAAGGCCGAGGCAGCTAAAGTATTTACCCACCACCTCACTTGAGCCACCAACTGAGGACTGCTCTCAGTGGGGGCATTTATTTACTCCCAGGCATTTCATGAACACAGGCCAAGCAGGCAGGGTCACAGGGAGTGCAATTAGAAACAGCAAGTTTGGAGTTCCCTAGAATGTAGTTCCCAAGTAGTGAGTTCCATTCACTGCCAAAGGGATATAACAGGGCACTCACAGCGCCTGCTAAGCTCTCCAAGCTCTAGCCTCTGTTCCATTGGTTCATTTATCTGTTCTTGTGCCATTACCTTTTTCATTACTAGAGTTTTATAGTACTTCTTGATAGCTGGTAGGTTAAGTTCTTATTCTTTGCTCTTTATATTTAAAATTTCCTTAGCTATTTGTAGACCTATATTTTTCCATATCAATTTTAGGTTCAATTTATGACATTTCTGGAAGAAAAAATTAAATGAAATTGTGATTGAGGTTACATTGATTTTTATGGGATTTACATCGCTTAATTTGGGGATAATTTATATTTTTATTACGTTAAATTAATTGTTCCATCAAAGAGCAAACAATGTCTCTCCATATATTTACATCATCTATTTCCTTTATTAAAATTTAATGTTTTTCTCCATAAAGTTATTGTATTTTTTTGGTTAGGTCCATTCCTAAATACTTACAGTTTTTGTTGCCGTTGTGAATGATATAATATTTTAAACTTTATTTTTATGTTACTTTTTCCTAGTGAAAAGAAATGTTATTGATTTTTGTGTATTGGTATTATATCCAAAACTCTTCTCAACTCTCATCTTAGCTCTAACACTGAAAGAGCAAGGAATTTCTTAATGTAATTCATCATGATTATAGATTAAAAGAGAAAAGGGATACAGCTTATCTTAATATTGATATAGATAAAGTACTTGGCTAAGTTCAAATTTGATTTAGGATTAACAAAACTCTCAGCAAGACAGGAAACTTAACCTTAACTGGGTAAAGGTTATATAACAAAATTCTAGAGCAAATTTATGTTTTGTTTGGAAGGTCTAGATACATTTACTATGTAACAGTACTGGAGACCTTGGGGCTGGGAGAGGGGGAGCGTGGGGAAAAGAAATTGTTTCTTCAGTGCTTATTGTTTTACTATTGCACCTTTGTGGCATCACATATTTTTCTTGGGATTTATCCATTGCATCTAACTTTTCAAAAGTATTACCATATAGCTGTCCATAGTACTTCTTTTTGTTTATGGCTTTATTGAGATATAATTCATACACCATACAATTCACCAATTTAAAGAGCACAATTCAATGGTTTTAGTACCATTTACAGAGTTGTACAACCATTACCTGTCAATTGTCCATAATACTTTTTAAAAACATTTTTAAATCTCTATTTTTCTTGGTAGTCTACCCTTTTTCAGTCTATATCATGTTTTTCCTTATTTTCCCTCTGACTTTTGAAATCAGGACTGCCAATGCCTATTAACATTTGAAAGAACAAATGTTTGGTTTTGTTACATTGATTTGTTCTCCCCTTCTCTCTTTATAAAATTTATTTTTGCCCTTATTTTTATTATTTACTTTATTCTTGTTTCTTTGAATTTTTCTTGTTGTAATTTTTCACCATATTTTTTAGTTGAATGCTTAGCTTGTTTTTAAATTTTCTCCCTGATAAATAGGTATATATATGAAGCTAAAATTTCTCTCTAGCTACTGTTACAGCTGTAGTCTACAAATTTTGACTTATAATTTTATGTTACTCAGTTCTAAGTATTTTGTAATTTCCCTTTTAGCCCAGAGTTATTTACCAAAATGCTATTTATTTTCCAAATAGATGAGATATTTAAGTTATATTTTTATTAATTTCTGATTTTATTTTATTATGATTGGAAAATATTTTCAATGGATCCTTTCTAAATGGAAACTTTCTTTGTGTTATAACACATGGTCTTTTTTTTTTCTATGTTCCAAATATACTCAAAAAGAGTATGTATACTATTAAGTGTAGGCTTTTTTTTTTTAGCTCAGCTATTCTGCCACCTGTTGGCAGCTCAGCGGCAGCTCAGCTTTGGGCATCGAACCGGCGATCCTGTTGCTCAGAACTCACACTCTTGAGCGAGCTCTTAACCAACTGAGCCACTTGGCCAACCCAAGTGCAGGTTTTAAAAAATATTTCTAATAGCTCAAACTTATTGATTGTATGGTTAGGACTTTAACATATCTACTTATGTGTTATCTGTTTAACTATCAGTTTTGAGATAGATGTATTAAAGTCTCCAACTACTATTCATTTACCTATTTTTCCTTGAAGTTCTGTCAATTGTTAAATAAGTTTAGAGAGTTTTTTTTTTTTGGTAATATACATTAATGATAGTTATATTTTTTTGCTTGTTCTTTATTTTTTAAAACACACATGTGCTTTTTTTTTTTAAAGATTTTTTATTGGGGAATTGGGGGAAGGGGAACAGATAAGTTGCTGTCCTTTTGTTCTTCAGTCTAGTTGTGGAGGACGTTGCTTCACTGGCCCAAGTTGGCATCATCATTGCACTCTTCCTGGGTGAGGCACAGCAGTCGCCAGCTTCTGGACAGCCACTCACAGCGGCTGCTGGCCGCTCAC